ACACACACACACACACACACACACACACACACACACACGGATCATTTTAAAGACCTCTTTTTGGAAAAGTTGAATATGCCAAAGCCTTCACAATATAAGATGAGGCATAATGTAATAAAAAGTGAAATTCTATGGTATAGACCATAAATACTACAGAAGTTTAAAGAGAGAAAAGTTGATTGTCTTGAGCCTCCTTATAAAAGACAAATCTTTGCCTTGGTGTTTTCTATATCAATGAAATTACAGGTTCAGTTCCTATCTATATTTATTAAGAACCTACTGTGTGCAGGATTTTTAGCAGTGTGTAATAAGAATAACCAAAAAGTTCTTCAGTAATCTTTTTGTCTCTGAGAAACAACAATTTATCTTTCTCTTCTCTAAATTCCTATTTTAATTCTATTCATTTATCATTTAATGTGTTTCAGTGTTCTGGAGTCAAGATGACATGAATTCAAATATCACTTCAGACTCTTACAATCTCTGTGACTATAGGCAAGTTACTTCTCTCTGTTTCCTCACTGTGTTATAGGGATAAAAATAACGCCTACCTCACAGAATTGTTGCAAGGGTGTCCCAAAAGTGTTAGGGCCATGGTATGCTACTAAAGCATACCATGGCACTAAGACTTTTGGGATACCTTATCTATCTATCTATCTATCTATCTATCTATCTATCTATCTATATCTATCTATCTATCTATCTTTATCATATATGTGTACATTTGTAAAAATATACATATGCATACCTATATATATATATGTATATATATATATATATAGACACACACATAAAAACATATATATATATATAGATATATAGACACACACATAAAAACATATATATATGAAATAGTGCCTTGCAAACCTTAAAATCAGGCAGCTAAATGGCTTAGTGGATAGAGTGCCAAGCCTGGAGTCAGGAAGCCTGAATTCAAATCTGCCCTCAGACTTACTAGCTGTGTGACCTTGGGCAAGTCACTTAACCCTGTTTGCCTTAGTTTCCTCATTTGTAAAATGAGCTAGAGAAGGAAATGGCAAACCATTCGTGTCTTTGTCAAGAAAACTCTACATGGAGTCATAAAGAGTCAGACATGACTAAAACAACTAAACAGAAACAACAAACCCACAAAAAAGTGCCATACAAGTAATATTTGTTAATATTGTTATTATCTGACTTCAAATTTCACTACTTAGCCAAAATACTCTCCTCCAAAGGTATCAGGGGTCTCTTAACTGCTAAAACCAACAGCCTTTACTCCCATAATAGGGGCCAGGTCACCTAGGACTGTATCCTGGACCTTGTCCTCTTCCCACTCCCTCACTTAGGTAGATCTGACCAAACAGCCAGTAAGTACCTCAAACTGATCATGTCCAAAACAGAATTAACGATCTTCCACTTTAAATCCTCAGTATTTCTTCAGAAACTTGAGTCCATCTATTCTGTCTCCATGCCTGCTCATTGTTTCTCCTTACCCTGAACGTGCTGTCCCCTCTGCATCTCCACCTCTTAAAATCTCTGGTTTTCTTCTAGGCTCAGTTCAGGTATCACCTTAAACAGATTTTCCTGATCTCTCCAGCTGCTAATGCCTTCCTTGCTAAAATTTCCTTATATTTTAAAAATATGTCTTTTGTATATATTTATATGTGTAAATTTTTCCCTTAATGGAATGTAAATTCCTCAAGGTCAAGAACTGATTCACTTTTGTCTTTTTATTCCTAGCATTCAGCACAAAACCTGACATGTAATTAGTAGGTACTTAATACAGCTAGGTCACAGCTAGTGTGGGTCTGAATAAGGCAAAATTCAATTTAGTGCAAATTATAAAATGATACCAGGTCACATTTGATGTGAGTCAAGATTCAAATTCATTTAATGCAATGTATATGAGCTAGTGCAGTCAGTCTGCCCTAGCCTATTATTATATGTGGTGTGGGTGTGATGTATAGCTGTGTACCATATTACCACCAACAGTTGTGTTAATTTTTTAAAAAAGGAATCTTTAACAAAAACAGACAAAAGGAAGAATACTTCAGGCGGAAACACTGACAGCACAAAAAAAAAAGGAGAGGCTTGTTATTACATTGGAACAAAAATTTAATGTAATTGAATGGCATGGTGGTGATCATAGTAACTTTAAAACAGTATGAGACATTGGAATACCTGAACCTATGATACAGAATATTATAAATCATGCAGATGAAATAAAAGCAAAAGGCAAACTTGCTTCAGCTTTTTTTGTGGTTTGCAAACAAATACAAGGAAATAGATTATTAGAATGATAGAAATGGAGAGTCTGTTAGCTATATGGATTGTGGATTGCAATGAAAAACACATTCCTCTTACTAGAATAACCAGTTAAAGCTTCCAAGAGGCAGTGAAAGAAAATGGAAATGAAGTGGGTAGTGAAGAAAGTTTTACTACAAGCATTAGTTGGTTTAATATTTTAAAAACTGGGTTCAAATGCTTAATGTTAAAATTAGAGAACCCTAGAGAATCAAGTGAAAAACTACTTGAAATAATAAACAACTGTAGCAAAGTTGCAGGATATAAAATAAACCCACATAAATCATTGGCATTTCTACATATTACCAACAAAGCCCAACAGCAAGAGATAGAAAGAGAAATTCCATTTAAACTCACTGCAGACATTATAAAATATTCAGGAGTCTACCTCCCAAAACAAGCCCAGGAACTATATGAACACAATTACAAAACACTTATCACACAAATAAAGTCAGATCGAAATAATTGGAAAAACATCGGTTGCTCATGGGTAGGCTTAGCTAATATAATAAAAATGACAATTCTACCTAAGCTAATTTATTTATTCAGTGCCACACCAGTCAAACTACAAAAAATTATTTTATAGAGTTAGAAAAAATAATAACAAGATTCATTTGGAAGAACAAAAAGTCCAGAGTATCAAAGGAACTAATGAAAAGAAATGCAGGGGAAGGTGGCCTAGACATTCCAGATCTTAAATTGTATTATAAAGCAGCAATCATCAAAACTTCTTGGTCCTGGCTAAGAAATAGAGTGGTAGGTCAGTGGAATAAGTTAAGTATGCAAGACACAGTAGTCAATGACTATTGTAATCTATTATTTGATAAACCCAAAGACCCTAGCATCTGGGATAAGAACTCACTCTTTGACAAAAACTGCTGGGAAAACTGGAAAAGAGTATGGCAGAAACTAGGCATAGACCCAAATCTCACACCATATACCAAAATAAAGTCAACTGGGTTCATGATTTAGATATAAAGGCTGATACTGTAAGCAAACTGGGAGAGCAAGGAATAGTTTACCTATCAGATTTATGGAGAACAGAAGAATTCATGACCAAACAGGAGATAGAGAACATGACGAAAAGCAAAATGGATAATTTTGATTACATTAAATTGAAAAGTTTTTGCACAAGCAAAGCCAATACAACCAAGATTAGAAGGAAAGTAGAAAATTGGGAAAGAATTTTTATAACCAGTCTCTCTGATAAGGGCCTCATTTCTAAGATAGATAGAGAATTAAGTCAAATTTATAAGAACACAAGTCACTCCCCAATTGATAGATGATCAAAGGATATGAACAGTCATTTCTCAGATGAAGAAATTAAAGCCATCTATAGTCATATGAAAAAAAATGCTCTAAATCACTATTGATTAGAGAAGTACAGGTCAAAACAACTCTGAGGTACCACATCACACTTATCAGATTGGCCAACATGACAAACAGGAAAATGATAAATGTTGGAGAAGATGTGGGAAAATTGGAACACTAATGCCTTGTTGGTGGAGTGGTGAACTGATCCAACCATTCTGGAGAGCAATTTGGAATTATGCCCAAAGAGCTATAAAAATATGCACACCCTTTGACCCAGCAATAGCACTTCTAGGGCTGCAAAGAGATGATAAAAGTGGGAAAAGGACCCACATGTACAAAAATATTCATAGCAGCTCTTTTTGTGGTGGCAAAGAATTGGAAATTGAGAGGATGCCCATCAACTGGGGAATGGTTGAATAAGTGGTGTTATATGAATGTAATGGAATACTATTGTGCTATAAGAAATGACGAGCAGGCGGACTTCAGAAAAACCTGGAAAGACTTGTATGGACTGACACTGAGTAAAGTGAGCAGAACCAGGAGAACATTGTACACAGTAACAGCCACATTGTTCGATGACTAATATTGATAAACTGAACCCTTCTCAGCAATACAAGGATCTAAGACATCTCCAAAGGCCTCATGATGGATAATGCTATCCACAAAGAAGAAAGAACTATGGAGTTTGAATGCAGATTGAAACATACTATTTGCTATTTTTTTCTTCTGTTGTGTCTTGTGTCCTCTTTCTGGTGGTTCCTCCTATTGGTTCTAATTCTTCTTTACAACATGACTAATGTGAAAATATGTTTAATAGGAATGTATATGTATAGCCTATATCAGATTGCACTCTGTCTAGGGGAAAGAGGTAGGGAGGGAGGGGGGAACAATTTAAAACTCAAAAGCTTGTGGAAGTAATTGTTGATAATTCAAAATAAATTAATAAAATAAAATAAAATTACCAGAGAAAGCAGCCAGTGTACATGAAGGTACAGCATCTATCCTGATATATCCTGATGTTTTGAAGAAAACAATTGAAGAAGGTGGATATACTCATCAACAGCTTTATTATGGAAAAGGATGCCTTCCAGAACCTAAATTTCTAAGGAAGAAAGAACTAAACTTGTATTTAAAGGATCACCACATACTTTCACTGGGAGGTGATGCAGAAGGGAATTTTAAATGAAAACCAATGCTTATTTATTGGTCTAGAAATCCTCATGTCTGAGAGGCTACAACCATTGACCACTTCCAGTTCTTTAGCAGTCAAATAAGAGAGCATGGATGATAAAAAACTTTCTTCAAAGACTGGTTTTCAAGTTATTTTAGTCCAGCTATTGACACATATTGCAAGGACAACAATATCACATTTAAAGCATTACTGATTTTAATTTACGTCCCAGGTCATCCAACTACACTTGGTTCACCGTGAGAGAATGTGAGCATGCAAATTTGTGAAGCTGTGGATAAAGCTTTCTGCATTCACCAAAGGATGTATGAGGAAGAGAAGACAGTTTAGTCTATGCTGCTAAAATATTTAAATGACAATAACTATATTTCCATCATATCACCAACATAGGGTTGAATTTTTTTTAAATTTTGCCTCCTATTACTTTCTGATAAACTTGAATCAAAAATACATATTTCTTATCCTTTATTGTTATATTATTTTAATGATAGATACAAATTATTTTTTAAAAATTGCATGTTTCAATTGAGCTGGAACAAATGACCAATATATAGTAATTACTTCAAATAGTATGAATTCAAATCATGTGACCACTTCCCAGAATACAATATTTGCACTAGTTGGGACTTGGCCAGAAACGTTTGTTCAATGACTGAGAGTACCACCTTGGTTTTAGTTAACCCTGGTACGGAACCTTGAACTTATCCTTGATGACCCCCATATTTAATCATTTGCAAATTCTCCATAATACCTCCATAATACATCATCCATGTGTCCCCTCCTCTCCACTCACATGGCTACTATCTTAGGTCAGGACCTCGTGACCACTCATGTAATAGTCTCTTAATTGGATTCCCTTCTACTCTTTTCTCTCTCTGATCTACGTCCCCCCCCCCTTGCCAAAATAGGTTTCCTAGAGCATAAGTCTGAAGCAGTTTCATTCCCCTACCTCCTTCACTGGCTCCGTATTAAACTCTTCAGTGTAGCATTTAAAGTCCCTCACAATCTACCTCTAATTTACCTTTCCAGAATGACTTGACATTATTCCCTCTAATGTACTCACTGTTCCAGCTGAGCTAGTCCATTTGCTGTTACCTAAACTCTCTAAAGCTTGGCAGCTGATCAGATATGGGGGGAGGGGTGGTAGTGTTAAGAAAGGTGAGTCAGAGATGACACCGGTGTTGTGAATCCCCTTGAAATAACTAAAGAAAGTTTAGAGGAGTAGCAGGTTAGGGCAGGGATGGTGAGGGGGCAAGAAGAGGGGTGGGGAGATAAATTCTGTTTTGAGCACACTGAGTTTGAGTTGCCTAAGGGATGATGGGGTTGGGGGTGGGGGTGGGGGTGGGGTTGGGGGTGGAGGTGGCGGGGGAGATATTCAGAAGATTGTTGGACACGAGAGAGATTAGAGCTGGATATAGAGATCTGTGAGTCAACGGGGTAGAGATAATCATTGAAAAGAGAATAGATAAGATCTGGGAGAGAAAGTATAGAAAAAAGAGCAAAGGGCCAGCATAATATGTTTAATGTTTCACTGATATATTGGGTTATTTTTTTCCCCTCACAAAACACTACTTTCAAAGTTATTTAAAACCTTGGGCCATTTATTTAAGGCCTCATTCCTTCTGTAAATTCCACTTTTGGTATTAACCCTCATGCCTTAGGCTTGAACTGAATTGGCCTAATACAGGGGAAAAGAAAAGAATCAGGTTACTAAAGTTATTTCTGCACAGCTGTGGCAAATGTGAGAAGCTAAATGGTCCAAATTCTCAGTCTATCTCCAGCTCAAATAATTTATATTAGATAAAAAGCTAATCTAGGAAAGAGCCCAAGGTTCCCTAGGAAAGCAAATGTTCAGAAAGGATTTTTCCCCCACCCAAGTGTGCTAAGAAAATATTGAAAAGAATATTCTTAAGGTGATTAAGGCATTTAAAGAGAATAATTTTCAGTTCCAATTTGGAAGCCCCAGAAAAGACAGAAAAGGCTAGTGAAGGAAGAGGTAGATAAACAACAATAACCTTCCAAGTTTTTTTTATTACTGTTGGCAATTGGGAGTTCAGGAGTAATACCAGTAATTGAGAGCCACTGACCACCTTCCCCTTTAAATTCTTTCATCACTAAATTTGAAATTGATTGCCTGCCAACATCTGTTTCAATGTCCTTTTTGTGGAATGAATTACATAAAACTTTGCTATGCAAAAACTTTTGCCCAGAAAGGAGGCAAAAGCATCCTCCAAAGAAAGAGAAGGGAGGAAATTGGGTTAACCAGGGCCACTGCCTTACAGTAAAAATATATACTTTACATATTTATTACATATATACTTTATGTTATGTATATATTTTATGTATTATATATGTGTGTGTGTGTGTGTGTGTGTGTGTACATATATATGCTTTATGTATCCTAGGGTTTAGAGATAGAAGGGAACTTAGGAACCATCTCTCTCAACCAAGGCTATGCTGGGTAAATGTTTAACAGCTGGCTCTCCAAAACAACAACAATGACAACACCACACTTTTAAGTTTAATCTGCATTATTTAACTAATTAAATTAATTAATATTTAACCTGCATTAACATTTTCTCCTTCACTTTCTTGTCTACACAATCAATACAACACAACTACAACAATAAATCAAACCCTGATTTGTAGCCATTCACTGATTTCTGAGCTCACACTGAAAATTTACCAACTGGCTCTTTCTAATGCATATTCATGGTTCATGCCATTTAGTTTTATAGATGGGGAAAAATTCCTCTGCTTCTGACCTCTTTCAAGAGAAAAGGGCAGAGATTGGATAGGGACTAGAACTGTAACTTAGTTGAGATAGAGAATTACCAGGTGAGGAAATGCCTTCTACCAACTTAGGTCAACATCTTCTTAGCAACTTATTCCCTTAGAGTAGTCTAGAGTGGAGAGGTTATGTTAGTGCCTTGCCTAAGGATATATTCCAGTTTACCAAAGGCAGAGCTTGAACCCATCCAGGACTTTCTGGTTTTGAGGCCAGTCCTTTGTCCATGAAAACATGATGTCTCTTTCATGGAGGTGCTGATAAATAGTGAAAGGACAAAAGGAAGAATAATCCAGGAAGGAAGAAAAAAGAACATGACTGCATATTTGCAAAATCAAAGTGATTCCCTGAATAACTGAAAGGAAACCGTACTTTGGATTTATTTAATATCCTATCACCTAAGAAGTCAATGGATTTTCATATCTGCTAACATATTCACCAACCCTGCATATTCCTGTGCATATTACAGTATTTACAGAGTGAAAAATGGAAGTGAAGAGTGTTTCACCAAACTGACAGAGGGCACACAGTGAATCAGGGGACCGGAGGGGTCTTCCAGTCATTTGATCATTTCTCAAATTTAACATCGCCTTTCTCAAATTAGCAAAGATCAAGCAGAGATTTAACAACTACTTGTTGGATATGTCACACTGGGGCTTCCTTTTGTGTGTGGGAACCAGAAAGGACTTCCTGAAGAAGACAGTACTCTAATATTTTCTAACCCTTCCTTCAAACCAACCAATAGGGCATATTAGCAGTCCCTGTGCTCAGCGAAAATAAGGATGGAAGATCTGATTTAAATCTGGTCCAAGTGACATGGTGTATATTAATCTACCAATCAATATTTATTCAGCACCTACCATGTGTCAGGCATTGAACTAAGTTCTACGGTTACAAAAAGAAGCAAAAGACACATATCTATCTTCAACAAGCTAACAATTTAGTGGAGGAGATAATATACAAACAAATATATACAAAACAAGCTACATACAAGATAAATAGGAGACAATTAATGGAGAGAAAGGCACTAGAATTCACAGGGGTTGAGGCATTTCCTATATTCTGCAGCTTTTAGCTATTGGGATTCCTAAATGACATTTGAACAATTATGACTATGACAAGCTTTTACTTATTATACAGTTTGAGAGCTCTAAAATGTTAATTTACATTTTAGAATTTGTTCATGTGATTTTGCAAGGTGTAAGAGGTTGAGGTGAAAGGGAGGCCCCTTATATTCTGTTTCAATATTTTGCTGTATTTTACACACATTGAGTCATTTAAAAATATTCATTGTGTGCCTTCTATTTATAAGCCACTATGCATACTAAGGGATACAAAGATGAAGGAGTCAGAGTCTTACAAAGAAGTAGAGTAGGTTACAATATATATTTGAAGGGAAGGAATTCCTCCTCTATCTCTCTGTCTCTCTCTGTCCATGTCTATCTCTGTTTATCTCTCTCTGTCTCTGTCTCTCCCTGAAATTTCATCAATTTAACATTCATTTGGGCTAGCAAGGAATGTCCCTAGGAAAACAAAGAGGGGAAGGGACTATCAGTTATTTAAGCTTTAGGAAAGGTTGTTTTAATTGGTCTGTTTTCCTAATATTTAGTTAAAGTGGGGAGGGGGATGGGAGAAAGAGAGAGAGAGAGAGAGAGATCTAAAGGATCAAAGATAGTGAAAAGTAATTCTGGAGTATGGAACACATTGATGGATGATAGAGCTGGGTGGGCTTTTGCAGTGTTGAACTTCTAGAGGGTAGCTAGCATAAGTGCCATCGGGAATTAGTAGTAATCAGAAATGGAAGTCACCAAAGAAACTTCCACTTCAGAATTTTGCTTAGAACCTGCACTGCCCTTAGTGCCTTAACTCAAAGGGTGAGGAATTTAGAGGATGCCTTTAGCACCTTCTCAGGGGTGTTGCCTTTCCTGCTTGCCCTACTGCTAGCTTTGTGTCCTTTCCACCTTGCCAATTCTGTAGGAGCCACCTCATGAGCTTCACTTACAGCAGTGTAGAAACCTCCAGATGTCCCAGGGAGCATTTTCTCCTGAAAGGATTACCAATTTCCAAATCCAGGGATAGCTCTTCTCCCAGCTGTTCCCCCTTTTTGCTCCATAAAGTTCTTTCTTCTTCTTTTTCTTGTGGTCTCAAAAGTTAAAACCCAAATACTACTAATTCTTTCTTTTAAATCTTTTTAATATCCATTCTATCCTTTCTATTTTCACTGCCACCGCCCCAATTCAGGCTTATTATTCTATCCCTAGATTGCTATCATAGTTTTCTGACTGATCTCTCTGCCTGCCCTCTCCAATCCCCTTCCATGCCATCCCTGGATTAATCTGATAATGTCTCTTCTCTGTTCAAAAAACTTCATTGGTATGGCTGTTCATATAGCACATTCAGGATTGAGTTGTTTCAATCCAAATGCGCGATTCTATTATAATCAATGATGGAAATAGATTACTATAGAAATGCTGGCAGATCTGTTCCATTTTTCATCTATGTGTTTTCTGCCTTCTGATTTCATCTATAAATATTCTTGGGTGATCTGGCTTATGAGTTTCTTAGGATACACACACACACACACACACACACACACACACACACACATATATACACACATATATATAAAATAAACTTTTTTACAAACTTACGAATTTCCCTCTTTTGTTATTCTTAACTATTTTATAAGATGTTGTTTATATATTTATATGTTTATTTTATAAGATATTGTGACTCTTCATGACCCCATTTGGGGTTTTCCCAGCAGAGATATTGTAGTGGTTTGTCATTTTCTTCTCCAGCTCATTTTGCAAACGAGGAAACTGAAATACACAGAGTTAAGTATCTTGCCCAGAATCATGAAGCTAAAAAGTGTCTAAAGCCAGATTTGAACTTAGGAAGATGAGTTTTCCTGACTCCCAGCACTCTATGCACTGTACCTCTTAGCTGCCCATTTTATAAGATACTGCTGCTTATAATGTCCAACCATCCTGCACCAAGACATTTTGAAATTAAATTTACATTCCAAATAAATTTATAATCCCTTGGTTGAATCATCTCTCTCCCTGGCAAAGTGATTAAGTATTTTCTTGGTGATGTGGATTCCAGATTCCAGCCTCTTTGTTTTGGTGATCACTTTACTTCTGCAAAACTTCCACAGGCAATAGTGGCAATAACTATAAAGGTCTTTTCCTTTATTCATCTCTTATTTTTTCATCATCAGTAGTTTGTTTGAAGAGTTTAGGTCAGAACTTCTTTAACTGAATACATTGTTTTTTCATCTTTGTCCTTCTTTCCATTTTGGTATTGATTTTAACCATTGTTCTAAATAGTCTCATTGCACAGAGACAGCTGAAATGATTCCTTCATTGGTAACTAGTCATTTCCTCTCTGTTGAGGCAAGGTTTTTTTTTTGTTCATATAGTTCATTATTTGCCATATCCA